AAGAGAGAATTAACGTTTCCGGACGTTCTCTCTCCACAGATGCTGCCAGACCTGCTGAGTTTCTCCAGCAATTTCTATTTTCCGACAGACGCGTGGTTGGTGGGTTACCTTTTAAATAAAAACTGAGATTATTGCTTAAAACGGACAAGGCAAACATCGACAAGATCGACGGTCAGGTATAGGCCAGTAAATAGATTCAATTTTCTTTAAGGATGAGATTGTGTTTCTTCGTAAAATCAAATTGAACCAAATTTGCAAACCCGTAGCCTTTTAACGGGGTCGCTTTCAAAGAAATATATTAGGGTTAACAAGGCGAGGAGAGACCTGCGACTCAGCGACTCACATTCCAGCCTCTAAATCGAAAGTTTTCACGACTCCAAAACAGAAGTTTTTGTCCTCACACCCCAACAAGGTACCAAGGCAGCTGTTGTCTTAAAAAAATAATTACGGGTGGAGAACCGATGGTTTGAGCAGTCTCCTTCTATGCTGTGTTAATTCTGTGAACTCAACGTGTTGGAAGGAATATCCTGAGAAAGGCGATGAAAATGCCCTAACCCCACAAACTGCTAGGGGACTGCAGTGGTTCATGAAGGCAGCTCCTCCCCACAATCTCGATAAATGCTAGCCCAGCTAGCGACTCTCATGTCTCAGAAATGAATGAATAAAAAAAAAGTATAAATGCGTTCAGACAGCCTCAGAAAGGATCTGAGTAGACATAGCACATGGGCACAGCAAATAAATCGCCGAAGTTGGCATTAATGGGACAATGGAAAGCCCGGGGGAACGAGAATCTGTAGCATCATTGGGTTGAAGGGCCGAGTTAGCACACAGCGTAACTCCGCTCTGCATCGTAACCTTCTCAGATCCTGTCTCCAGAATCTCACTATAACCTCAATTGCTAGCAATCTCCGATACCGTCACCCACGAGTAACAAATGTTTTCACCCCTTTTCAGTTTTATTTTACCGACCAGACTGCTGGAACCCAATGGCTGCGACGATTTCAAAGATTTCAAAGTAAATGAAAGAGCTAAAGATTTAACTTTAACCATGTAAAATATAGTCGGGGTTTCGGAATATTATGGAGACAGTTTTCTGTTTAGTTTCAGCCAGTATCGTTCGTTAATTCCGCCCGTCCCTTGTAAAGATGCGTTAGGGAGTAACATTGCGGCTCAGAAAGACATCCAGAAATTGTGAACATCCTCAACCACAATAAGAGTTTTAAATTAAGTTTCATTTCTCAATAACATATACGTTCCACATCGGAAAGGGAAAAGTGAATAGCTGTACATATCTATCCAAAGTGGCACCTTTATTCATGGTTTATTTGACAGGATCCGTAACAATACTGTCATTACATATCTATCACAGTGTCTGCATTCATTGCACAGGCTGTTTAGTTTAGGATCAGACATCTGGATTGAGGTTGTTTAACTTTCTCGTTATTAGCGCCGTATCGTTATTTCATTTTTTAAAATTAGACAAACCAGGTAAGGCAAAATAACGTTAAGCCTGGTTTTAGCATCAGACAAACTTCTGTCGTAAAATAATCAGCATCTTCCCAGTGGAGGGGGAAAGGGCACTGCTCTGAGGCGATTGGCAAACGCAGCGACAGCGACACAGGGAAAGTGAATGGGTACAATGTGGAATGTACTGAGTCACAGAATTTTGACACAAGGCATCGGGAGGATGTTCAGCCGATGTTGTCCGCGTGTGCGTGCGTAGGGATAGACACAACCCGGGATTTCAAATAAAGCATTGTAACAATTCAGGAAGAGACAGGGATACGGAAATAGACAGGGATACGGAAACAGGGATATGGAAATAGGGATTTGGAAATAGACAGGGATATGGAAATAGAAAGGAATATGAAAATAGATAGGGACACAGAAGTAGACAGGGATACAGAAACAGGCAGGGATAGGAAATAGACAGGGATACGGAAATAGGGATACAGAAATAGACAGGGATATGGAAATAGAAAGGGATATGGAAATAGATAGGGATACAGAAATAGATAGGGATAAGGAAACAGACATGGATACAGAAGGTTGGGGGACTATCTGAGCTGCTCTGGCAAAGGTCACTGTCCGACAGGCTGAATGGCCTCCTTCTGTGCTGTCACTATCCGCAGGCCAATGTTTTGCGACCGCGTTCGTTTTGACACTGCTGCCTGCAGTTTTCAGTTCAGGATTGCAGGGTGAAGACACCCTGCCTTTTGTGGCAGAGATAGTAGGAACTGCAGATGCTGGAGAATCCGAGACAACAAGGTGCAGGGCTGGATGAACACAGCAGGCCAAGCAGCATCATAGG